TAAAGGTCAGAGGACAATTTTCCAGAAACAGTTCTCTTCTGAACCAAATTCAAGACCTGTACAGTAAATATTTTTACCCACTAAAGTCTCTTTAAATCACAATTACTTCCCCAACTCTAAAGACTATGTGAACCAAAATGGCTAGCAAGTTTCAGGGTGTTATCTGTACAAATTGGTTTGTTTCACTGTGTGAAGGTGAAAGGGTGAGGGGCGCTTAAAGAACTAAACCACTACTTCCAAATAAATTTTGGAAACTTGTCCTTTTAGCTTATTATCTAGTAGGAACAAAGAAATGTAGTCAGTCAATTAAGTAAGGTAGACTAGAAGAACTTTTAACAGCACTACAGCAAAAACAAAACAGTGCTATGCAGAGCACAAGCAAACATCCAGATGAGTAAGCAATCAAGATGTTAAGTTCTGAGACGGAGTTCTGAATGCAAGATAAATGGCAAAGAGGGAAAAGGGAGTTATCAATGTCTCTTCTACCATTTCAAGCTCAGAGAATACTTAATAGGAAAATACAGAAAAATACATGTGTCTGAAAAATAAGAGTCCTGGTAGAATGGAGTCATAATTAAGGACATTAAGTCACAATGTATCACAATGTCTATACCCAATCCTACAAAAGAGATAGACACTATTTAACCATACAGCAAGAAATAATAGAGCATGAGCCAGAAAGGGTTTGGAGGAGACAGTTACAGTAGCTGATTCCTTTAATACTAGTGTTACAGAGGCTGAGGCAGTACTGCCTCAAGTACAAGCCACACTGGGTTACAGAGTGAGATCCTGTTTCAAGGAACTGAAGAGGAGTAGGAGGGTACTAATAGAAAGTCTAACCCATTAATAATGACAGCCTAAATGAGAATGTAAGAATGGAAAGGCATAATGCATTCCTTTAATCCCAGCACTCGGGATGCAGGGACAAGTAGATCAGTGAGTTTGAGGCCAGCCTAGTCTAAAACACAAGTTACAGGACAGTCAGCGGTGTTACATAGAGAAACTGTCAAGAAAAAAATAAAAATAAAAATAACAATTAAATTTCTAAAAGAATGGAAAGGCAGGTATAAATATTACTGTTAAGAGGAAAGAGACTTAATGACGATGGAACACATGAAAATATGAGGTAAAAACTGACCAGAGGAAAGATAAGATACAGGTTCATCTTCTTAGAATGAAAGGTAGGACTGTAACTTTTGGAAACTTTAAACAGTTTACCCAAAGATCCATTCTCTTCTGTTTCTGCACTTATTCTCTATCTAACATTTCTGGTACTTATTTCTATAAGGTACATATCAAACCAGAAGCATTCTATAACAGGAGCTTAAAAGTATCCTAATTTCACATTATTTTGAACAGCATTTGTGAGAACAAAATAACTTAACCAGGTGTGTCATATAATAGGCTAGTAAACACCAGTGACTTAACTTTTATCTCTGTCTAAAGTCCAGTCATTGGATTCTCAGTCTTGGTATTATTCAGAAGCAAAGCCTTCTGCTGAACCCTCATACAATAGAGCACAAAAGAAGACAAAAACACTTCTATACACTTCATCCTACTGATGGTAATTAACCTGACTTCAGTAACTGCAGGTCAAACTTCCCACAGCAAATTAGTCATCAAAAACTAATAATTACTATCTCTGAGAAATATTTCTGGCCTATCTTATAAAAACAAAACAAAAAAATCATTCAAAGATTCTAAACCTCCCCACTGTTCCTTAAAATCAGATTGAGGCTGGAAGAGACCAGTGGTGGAAGGTTTGCTTAACAAGCCAGACAATCTAGGTTCAATCCAAGGACTATGAAAATAAGTAAGTTAACAAACAAACAAAAACTACAATCAACCTGAAAGTATCATCAGAAACACTGATTTTGTTTCTTGTGGTTTCAGACGTGGTCTCAATGTAGTCCTTGCTAACCTTCACCAACTCCTCTACATCCTAAGTGCTGACTAAAATGAGGCGAAGCCATGGTCTATCTAGAAAATTTCTTTAAAAAAAAAATCCTTAGGGGATGGGAGTTGGCTCACTGTTTAAAAGCACTTTTTGTTCTTTGCAGAGGGTCCAGGTTCCATTCCCAGCAACCACATGGCGGCTCACAACTGTCTATAACTCCACTGGCAGAGCATCAGACATCCTTTTCTGATCATGTGACCTCAGCAGGCACCAGGCCAGCATCTGATAAACAAACATACACAGCGAAACTCTCATAAAATAAAATACTTTAAGCTTTTTAAAAATCTTTTAAAATGGAAGGAGAAATAGCCAGTGAAACAAATCTGATCCTTCAAAGGTTAGTTTTTTTGTTTTGTTTTTTAACAAAAAAACATGTCAGTATGAGAGGTGCCACAGATAACTGAGGTTGAATATACCACAATATTAAAGATTTCAAATCCGCTCAGAAATCCAAACTGACCTTGATGCAAAACACTTAAGTCTTTGAAGCATTTATTTCCTATTCCACCAGTAACTCACTCAAGTTTTGGGGATATTTGTTTCCTAATCCATCAGTGGAACTATCACAAAGACTTGCTTGTGAGGATATTGTTAGGCCATTTCAGTGCATACCACACAGAACACTACACTCAGCACCTTTCTCTCGCTTTCCTTCTATCAACACACCTCACATTTATTACATGGCTTATCAGGAAGATAGTAAGAATTCACACACCAACAATGAAATAAAGAAAAATTCATTAAATAGCGTATGAAGAGAAGTTAAGCTAAGAAAATGATGAAATGCATGAGCTGAGAACTGGAGACACAAATGCAGAGAAAGAACAGGTTGGAAATACTATTTTGAGTATGGACACATTTCCTTTCAAATTTACATTGGTAATTCATTAGTTTGTGGGCTTGGAAAATGTCACATTGATCTGTATTACAGAATAGCACATGGTCTATATTAATAATTTACTCAAATGAAGCAGGTAACCCAGAAACCTAACAGTTTCTACGTTCAGTCAACTCTATCATCCCTTCAATTAGCTATTCAACAATCATCAAGGGTACCCAAAGACAGCGATGAGCATTAGGAATCAATGGTGGACAAGAATGGCCAGAGCCACTGTGGAACTTACTACCTGTCTACTCATTAAAGAGTCAGTCATCTGGTTCTACTACTAGACCTGGAAGTAAATAAAACTTTTTGCACTAAGCTGAACAAATGAATTCATGTTCCCGAGCAGAAAGTACATTTGCTAGTTTTCTAAATCTTGTTTTCCAAGTAAAACTAGTCATTAATTCTGGGCCCCAAATTTTAAGCAGAACATTAGACGAGCAACACAATGCAAAACAAACAAACAGCAATAACAAAAACCTTAAGACCATGCCTCATTAAAAAAAAAAAAGACAAGCTTTTGATGAGAGAAAACTTGGAAACATGACCACTATCTTCATGTTTCAAAGAACTAATACCCAAATTTGTTTTGTATTATTCCAAAGCTTTATATTTAGAAAATACATGGATTTGCATTTCTCTTTCAAAAGATTTTTAACAATTCAAACTATTCGCAAATCAACCACTTTAGATTTCTGTAAGGCTGTATACTTTATAAAAGGCAAAATTTCATTTACCCCTTGAAATAATAAAAAGACAAACATTACATATTATAGTTTAGCAAACTAAGTCTTCAATGGTTTTGCTAAGAAACTGAACAAATCATACAAGAAACTGCGCAAACAGTGCCTGAATTCAAGTCCAACCCAGACTGCCCAAACATCATAATGTGTTCCTACCTACTGATGTATTTACTCAGGCACAAACCACATGGCCAGTTATCAGAAACGATGGCCAATATTATCGAAAAGTTTCTTCCCAAACCAACCCTTTGGAAAGAAAGCTGGTCAATACACACGGCATGAAAAGACTTCTAGTGAGTGGACTTTCTACATGCTAGCACTAGGAGGACAGTAACTCTGTCTTTCACCCCAACATGGCACCTATGACATTCCTTCACTGCTCCACTGCAGTGCCTAAACTAGCACTGGCATATAATCTGTGCTCTTAGGTATTTACTAAGCATGCACAGTGCTAACCACACACTCTACTATATAGTACTATGTATCACCAATGTGTAACAACAAAACCTCACTAAAATATCTAGAAACACAAACCTATTGTTAAAATTGCCATTACACATCAAATTGCTATATAAAGTTATGAAACTTAACCTTGCCAGTTTGCAAAACAAACTGAAATGCAGAAAATAAAAAAGATCTGGCAAAGGTAAAAGACTACAAGTAAAAAGTAACATCGTATAAAAAGCACAAGTCAGACTTGCTATAAGAGTTGTCAGCTGCAAAACTTAAAACTGGCATTTCGTGTGTACTTGAACACTGTATGAATACATGCACACAGATCGTACGGTTTAAAAACATTCAGGCGCTCTACTCACAACTTTACAGTTAGTAAAGGATCTGCAAATTTCATAGACGCATACACTGCGCTGAGCAGCAGCAGAATCAGACCTTACAGGTATTCCATCCATTTGGCATTACCAAAAACTAGAATAGAAAAATAACCCCAATCCTAAAGCTAGCTTACAATACCCCAAACCGAAAAGAACAGAAGCCCCAAATATGTTAATATAAGAAGTTACAAAACCTACAAAGTACTTTAAAGCCACTTTTAAAGTTATCAATGTTATTGATACATAACATTGTATCAATATACACATTTGAGACTTACATACAATATTAAGTCCCTGCACTGCAATCCATTAATAAATCACCAACAGAATAACCTTTTCTCCAAAAACATTAAGACAAATTATGCTACTTTTAGGGTTTATTCAAACTAGAAATGCTGGGAGAGCAGAACGGTTTGCAAAAACCTGCTAACAGTTAAAGCAACAAGTTTAAAACTTGAACTCTTAGAAAGCGTCCTTCCGACACCCATAGGTTCTCCCATCACCCCTGCCCGCTAGAAATCCATCTATGGTCCGGGTGGGCCTAACTCCACTCTCCCTGCCTTCTAGGGTTAGGGGGCAGGACTCACCTGAGCACTGGGCTGTAGGGGCTGCGCGAGCGCCGCCAGCTGCTGCTGCTGTACGGGCTGGGGGACACGTCGCCGCCCCGCTCGTAGGAGCTGTGGCGGCTGTAACTGGGCGAACGGCGCCGGCTGTAGGGACTCGGAGAGCGCGGCAGCCTCCGGGAATAAGGGCTGCTGCCACCTCCCACCGGGCTGGGAGACTTGCGGCTCCGGAGGCTCTGCGAGGCCCTGTGGGACACCGGGCTTTCGTCCCGGCCTCCCAGCGGGCTCAGGGACCGCTGCCGCCGCCTGTAGGCCTTGGGCTCGCTCTTGTCCTCCCGGTAGGCCTTGGGCGGCTCCTTGTAGGCCGAGGGCGGCTCCTTGGACGACTTAGTCCGGCTGCGATGGCCCTTGAGGTCCCGGTCCTTGCGACTGCTGCTGCTGCTAGACGTAGCCGAGGCGCTCTTGCGGCGGCCGCCACTGCTGCTGCTGCTGCCGCTCTTGGCGGCCTCGGTCCGCTCCTCACCACTGTGTCCGTGACGGCCGCGGGCCTTAGAGGCTTCGCTGCCGCTGCGCGTCCCGTCCCGCCGCCGGTGCTCGCGGTGGCGCTCCTTGCTGCGGCCAC